CCTTTGGCTTTTGTAGTGGCTTGCAGTCTCTGAGGCATGGACTTGATGAGTGACAAACAGTATTCTTCATCAGTTTGGTGCCAACTCTCTTTGATAGCAGTTACCAGATCAGCTTTGCAGGTCGGAGCTTCTTGTGGACCATTTTCTTTTTCAATTTCCACCACAGGTTTTCAACTGGGTTGAGATCTGGACTATTTGCAGGCCATGACATGGACTGAATATGTCTTTCTCCAAGGAATGCCTTCACTGTTTTTGCCCTATGGCACGATGCATTGTCATGTTGGAAAATGATTTCATCCCCTCCAAACATCTGTTCAACTGAAGGGATGAATAGGGATGATTGGGGGGAGTAAGGGATGATTTTTAAAGGAGTCCATTGTGAAATTATTTATGCAAATTATAAATTTCTTAGGCAATATTGCTGGAACATTGCCATCAAAAATAAAAATAAAATGAATCCAGGCATCTCTGTTCTCCATGACTGTTAAAAACATTAGAACAAACTTTCATCCTGTGAAGAAGTGGGCGGAGCTCCACCTTGGGTTACCAGGTGAGTAGCCTGGTAAAAACCAGACCCTTGTCCTTCACTTTGCTTCATACGAGGGTCTGGACTCTCTGCTGTAGAGAAGTGGTTCTTGCTGGAGGCGTGGCCTCTGCTGAAGTTTAAAATGATTGGATGGGTTGGCCGTGACGTATGTGTGCCAGTTCCACTGTGACGGAGGCTAAGCTAAGAAGCTAACAGAAATCACGTGGGCTGTAAACAACCCTAATGAGAGGAGAGAAATACAGAGCTTAATGAGACGACTGTAAATGAGAGCTGCTGGGCTAAGATCAGCTCTTTAGCATGTGAGCTTATCTTATCCCTGAACGTTGGGTTCCTGAAGGAGGAAACCAGCTCCTTTTCGTTTGAAACGGAGATGGTGTCTGGGGGGGAAGAGGCTCATCTGTGTTAGTAAAACTAAAGGAGAGAGAGAGGAGAGAGGGTACTAGCGGACGTGACCTCAGAGTTTGTGTTAGTAACAGGGGAGCTGAAGCTTAGTCTAAGACACTGCCAAAGGTCTGTGGAAACATCAGCACCTGCAGAACAACAAGTTCGAACCTTGACAGGCTTTAACTAAATGAGAATGAACTAAGCTTTTAATGAATTATTCAAACCAACATAAAAGTTAAGATATTTTGTTTAAACTTAAGCACAAATAACCAGAGTATTTTGTTACTGTTGTTGATTTACTTCAAACTATCAACTGCAACCATAGGTAGTGCACGCTCACAATTTCACATGAGGTGAGTTTTTCCCACCTGGTTCTGCTGGAGGTTTCTTCCTGATTAGCAGGGAGTTTTTCCTCTCCACCGTTTGCTCAGGATGGGAGACTGTGATGAAGTGATTCAACACAATCTGCTGCTTTCTTCTTTACATTGTTCTTTTTATGTACAGTGTCCTGAGACAACGTATGTTGGGACTTGGTGCTATATAAATAAACTTGAACTTGAACTTGAAATGGCGCCGGGTTGAAAATGTTTCAGAGTCAGATGAAGCAATTGTTGAGTCCACAAACAGCCCAACCACAACCCAAATGTTACAGTCTTATTTAAAAACAGCATCCGTTTTTACTGTCCCCACTTTACTTTACTTTACACTTTACAACCAATAGTTTACTCTCTTTAAATTAGTAGACAGTTTAGTCGTAATTGGGTCAGTATAACATTAAAGTCATGGTCTGACTGGTCATTTACTTAATCCTTTACTTTAAAACATGCAGAGTGTTCAGCACAAACCTTTGGACCAGTCTTTTCCATGAAGCCTTCCTTCATGAAGTTTCGGGTCAGTTTGGGCACCAGCTGGGGATAAAGGACAACCGTGTCACATAAAAAGTAGGCCCAGATGAGGAAAAAGTAAACAGTAAAGAGCATGGACAACCTTACAGTCTTACAGTCCATCACTGAGGTTTGTGAAAGTGTGTTAACAGGACAGTTTAATTTAATTGAGAAAGTGATATTATCTCACAATAAATGTCATGTTTTACCTCCTCATCACTCGCTCCTGGAAAGGCCACCTGCAGGTAGTGAAACCTGGCTGCTCTGATGGAGTTGAACCAGTCCACCATCTCCTGTGGAAAACAGACAGTCTCAGAGGCAGGAAGTTCTGCTGGACTGGATGTGTCACAGCGTAGCATGGATCTGATAGTGAAACAACAAGAGTCCAGATGGACTGTGTTGGTGCAGACATCTTAAATGTCTCTGACAGAAGCAGTAGTCCCATCATACAAGTCCTGTATCTTACAACCCAGATCCATCCACTCTGAAGGACTTTAGCTGCCATGAGGTGCTTTGAGAACCAGGACCAGCATTCATTGATCCTGTGGTCCTAGACTCAGCTGAGCCCTACAGTTTGTGTACAACATCCACATCAGTGGACAACACTGTGTTTATCTCTGCACCACACACCCAAACACCTGGACCAAAGTTAGGGTTTTAACTCCTTTAAACTGGGAGCTGATGTGAAACTGAGATCTGGGAGTTCCAGTTCCCACCTGTACCTGGACTCTGGACTTTTAAACTGGTATTCCACGTATTATTGGGCTGAAAGGAAATGGATCTGCAAAAGTTGGAGCACGCAAAAGAATAAAACCAAATGGCTACAGCTCACCCAAACATCTTAAAGACAACCAAGCATCCTGGGTCACACTACAGCTAAAACCTTACCTGTGTAGCAAACAATACATTCAAAATGTAGATGGGCTTTATTGGTCATCAGTGCATGTTCCCATACAACGAAGAAATCACGTGAGAAACACCCGAGGGGAGCAGCAGCTGCTAGGTTAACACCCAGGGAGCAGTTGGGGGTCTTGCTCAAGGACACCTCGACATGTGGGCATGGTGAGGAGTCAAACCTGTAACTTTCTGGTCCTGAAGTCAGCTGTCCTACCACTGCACCACAGAGTACACTGAATAGACAAGACCAAAAAACTACTTTTTATCAAAGAAGAAGCAAAATTCAGCTTCCAGGGCCTGATCCATTAGATCAGGGCTGTTCAACTAAATCACCCCGGGGACCACAGTCACTGTAGGCCAACAGCTCAGGAGCCGAACATCCAGTAATTAAAGTCATTATGTAAATAAACCAAGTATTACAAAGATCGGTTACCTCTGAAATAGTTTATTTTGCTGCATTTAATCATGAATACAACATATAGAACTCAATAAAAGTAGTGATAAATAAACATTATCAAAAACAAAAATAATACATTCTGCCTCTTATTTAACACAAATATTTTAACATCTCTGACTTGCCAAATTTTTAAACCAATTTTATTTTCACTTTCATAGTTTTATCTTTAACTGCTTGTAATTTTAACTGTCGAGTGTTCATAGAAATGTTTTTACCAGCTTGTAGCCAAGATTCTGATGTTTCTGTAGAGACCAAACATGTCTATGTCTACCTAAAAGAACTTAGAGTAATTAAAGTAAAAAAACGGGTTTGGTCTTAAGAGATGAATGAACCAGTTGGTGGGCCGAACCCTGCATTAGATATAGACCACATGTCCCCATCCAACCCTTCAGAGGTGGATTCAGCCACATCCTGTAATCTAGACCTCCCACAACGTCAACCTGTGTCCTCTGATCCAGGTCTTCAGAGGTCCTACAGAGAACATCCTGTCAAACAGCATCACTGTCTGCTTTCATTACAGTCCTCAGGCACAGAAAGGCTTCTCAAAAACTTGTAGAGACAGCAGAGGGTCTCCCTGGAGCTGACCCTCGCTGTTCCCTGCTCCATTTTCAACAGCCAACACTCTGAGACACGTCCTTCCATCAGCAGTCAGAATGATGGAAAAGGACAGAAGAGACAACTATAACGTCTGTTCTTCAATATCTCCTAATAAAATGCAGCTTCTTTTAATGCTGTGTTTTATCAAGAATGTAGCTCAAAGATTCAATATATTTAATTTTTTTTTTTTAATTTAACCGTTATTTATCCAGGCAATTTCCGTTGATCACAGAATTCTTTTTGAAGGGAGGCCTGAAGGCAACCTGTTGTACATGTTTTTAGGGGTGGGAGAAACCAGAGTCCCTGGAGAAAACCCACACAAGCACGAGGAGAACATGCAAACTCCACACAGAAAGACCCCAGGTCTGAATCAGGGATCGAACCCAGGACCTTCTACAGTAGCTGTGAGGCGTTGATGCTAACCACTGAGCAATCGTGTTGCTAATGTTAATGTTCAAATGGAAAAAGTTATATTATTTTAAATATTGATACACTGTGAATTTGATGTCTGCAGCATGTTCCACTAAAGCTGGAACAGGGTCACTAAAACACCTGTTTGAAATCTTCCACAGGTGAACAGAGCAATGCTAAAATGGCTAACAACTCAGACTGTAGAGAAGAATCTGATGTTTCTATGGATTATTTTGAGTCAGAGACATGAAGAGTCAGAGTTTAAATAATACTCATTCAATAAAAAAAGACCTGAGAGTTTTCTTTATTAAAGAGTTCCCCTCTGATGTCACTTCCTGTTTCACTTTGACTGAGCCAAATTCAAAAGGAAATATGCCACTTATGGGACAAAATGGGTTAATTTGTGTGTATTATTCCAACTTTCTTAAATATAAAGATGTTTTCTTTGACTTTATGTATTTGAAGAACATTCATGTCACGGACACTTTAAAGCAAAAGTCATATTTCAACACGTCAGGAAGATGAAGCCCCCTACATGTGCCCTCCACTCCTCCTCTTCCACTCTGTAGTCAAGACTGATATTTCAACCATTTGTCAGGTAATCACCATCATATGTCTCTTCAGTCCGGTTCTGTTCCAGCACCACTGAAAGCTGCCATAATCTGAATCCAGAACTCAGAAGTCCCTACAAACTACAGACCCACAGCAAATCTCCCCTTCCTCTCAAAAGATCTGGAGAAAGTGTCTGCTGCACAGCTAAATAATCAGCTGGAGTCAAATCAGCTGTTTGAAAAGTTTCAGTCCAGTTTGTGCTCTTCATGGATCTGGGTCAATGAACTGCTGATGGCAGCAGATACAGGCTCACCATCTCTTTTAACACTTCTCATATTCATGTGACTGATCACAGAATCCTCCTAAATCGTCTCTCTCACAGTACTGGGCTTCATGATTTTGTTCTTGACTGGTTCTGGTCCAGTTTGTGTAACAGGACTGAACATGTTGCCATCAGGGGATTCAAGTCAAAGACTCATACAGTCACTTGTGTGGTTCCTCAGGGGTAGGATCTTGGCCCTACTTTTTTCATTATACCTCTTGGACAAGTCGTCAGCTGTCATGGATGTCCTTCCACTGCTATCTACTTATCTACATCTATCTACTTCTTCCTCTACACCTCCTCATCATCACTATCCAACAACTATCTCCAACTGAACAGCTCCAAACTGAGGCCATGTTGATCGGCAGTCCTCGTCAGGTTCAGTCACCTCCCACTGCAGCTCGAACTTTTTCTGGACAGAACTTCTCCTCCTCCACTGTCACCAACCTTGGTGTCTGCGTTGACCCTCACCTTTCTTTTGACACCCATGTAAAATACCCAAAGATTCCTAGTTTTCATCTTCAAAAACACTGCTAGTCTCATTCCATCACTTCCTTCACTGGATGCCAAGAAACTTGTCCTGCCTTTGTTTTGACAAGACTGGACTATTGCACCTTCATTGTTTCCGGCAGCTCAACTGAAACACCTGACACAAAGTGGAAACGTGTCCTGTGGGCTGATGAGTCCACGGTTCAAAGGACAAAAAGGACCAGTACTGCCTGGACTGGTATCAGCACAAAGTTCAAAAGTTAGTGTCCTTAGTTCACAAACACTGAGTGTTGTTAAAGCTGATGGAACACAGAGGGAAACATGAACCTGTCCACATTTATTAGAACATGCTGCAGCAAATTCAAAATCAGTAAAGATTTGTAAAAAAACAACAACAAAAAACAATAAAGTTCATCAGTTTGAACATTAAATATCTTGTTTTTGTAGTGGATTCAATTAAATCTAGGTTGAAAATGATTTAGGAATCATCTTCCCTAGAATCAGGGTTTTAGTTATTATGAAAAGCAGTTTTAGTTTTTATAACTCTTTTAGATCCTTTTATTCATTGACTATAAGATCTCTGCACTAATCGTGTCTTTGAACTCTTTCTGTTTCTTACAAACGGAAAAGAAAATACGATTTTTTTCTGCAGTGATGGTATAGTTTCCACAGTAAGGTGCAGTTAGTGATGCTGAACCCAATGAACTGGTCCTGGTAGTGACACCACTCAGCCAGCAGAGGAAGCACAACTCCACACACTTCTGCTTCCCTCCCACATATTTATAGTTCCCTTTTTACTCTGTAATTTTCTATTTTTTATTTCAATCCCTGCCTTCTGTTTGATCAGTAATGGCACAGATGAAGCTGAGCAGCCTCTGAGAGATGAGGATTAAACTGGTAGAAACGGCCTGTGTGTTTTTAGGGGGAACAGCCTCATGGTTTGATGCCAGAAGTGGTTCAGGATCTGGACTCTGATGAAGACACAACACATCCACTTCAGGCAAGAGGAGGAAGAATAAAAAGCCTCACAGCCACACAGATTACATGAAAGATGTTGTTTTGTGCTTCGGTTTGTCTTGGTAAATAACTTCCTACATCTGCTAATGGATGTAGCTGAGATAGAAGGAAGGACTTCCTGTTCAACTGCTGTTTCTGAAACCAAAATGTCATCAGTTCAAACGTACAGCCAGTGCTTACTTTGAGTTTCTGTCCAGTGCTTTATGAGATATTTAGCTAACAAAACTGTTGGTTGACTCAAACAGGTTTTAAGTAAAGGTGCTGAACAAAGTGTTTTGCTAAAAAAGGAGGTAAGAACGATGCTCAGCCACAAACACCAGCTACTTCTTAACTCAGTAGCTACAAAACCCCTTGACTTTTGTGTTTTCAAATATGGTGGCCATCTTGAGTTGGATGGAAACAAACAAAACTTAAGGAGACACAAAGGTGAACAAGACAGGGCATGAAGCACAATGACCAAATGCAGAGACATGAGGACCGAGGGACCAGAGGACTAGGACTGATGAGGACATTGAGACAGGTGGTTTAATGAGAACAGAGAACAGGTGTATGTGGGCGTGGACTGACAGAGGTAGAGAGACTGAGAAGAACAAAAACTGACGAGATAAAACCCTGAAGAACAGGAGAAATACAGAAAGTAAACACCAAGAATAAACTGGAGATAAAACACCAAAAACAGGTAAAAACACCAAAAACACCTAAAAACACCAAAAAACACAGCTAAAAACACCTAAAAACACCAAAAAAAAAAAACCCAACTAAAAACAACTAAAAACACCAAAAAAACACAGCTAAAAACACCAAAAAACACAGCTAAAAACACCTAAAAACACCAAAAAAAAAAAACCCAACTAAAAACAACTAAAAACACCAAAAAAACACAGCTAAAAACACCAAAAAACACAGCTAAAAACACAAAAACAGCTAAATACACAAAAC